TGTGTGCCCCGTGGGATCGGGGACACTCTGTTCCTGTGGGTTTAGAGGCACTGTGGGTCCCTATGGGGTGGGGCCAGTGCGTGTTCCCGTGGATGGGGGGCGCCGTGTGTTTCTGTGGGGTGGGGGGCAGTGTGTGTCCCTATGAGATTGGGGAACTCTGTGTTCATGGTGACACTTGGTACCTTGACAGCGGGTCTTTCAACATTTATTTTTTTCAAATTGAAAAATGAATTAAATGGGATTTTTAACACCTGGTTCAGCATCACAAAGGGACGTCCCAGCGTTCTCCATACAGCAAACCAGCTGCGGGTGAGGTTGGATTTTTACATGCAAAGTGCACTCTATATGTATCCACAGCAATAACATCAAAGGGAAACATGGGAGGGGGAACCCAGAACTGTAATTTATTCCTCGGTAATATGGGGACATGTGGCACAGGTTATTTATATTTGAAGGCTGCCCAGAGTGTCTTTTAAAAATAAACATGAGGAAAAATCCTTCCAGGCTCCCGTGCATCTGAAGGTGAGGCTGGGCAAGCTGTGGGCAGGTGCCATGAGCCAGGACCAGCAGGAGCCTCCTGCGTGCCCCGGTGCCACCATCATTGCACACACAGACACACCCCGGGCTGGCCCAGGGCGACACAGGACAGATCCTGAGCAGCCAGGCTGGCCTGGTTCTCACCTGGTGCAGAGGGATCACGAATTCCTGCTTCCAGCAGGGTCTGACAACAGGGGAGTTGATATGCACCGCGCTGTTTGCATTAAACCCCACCTCTGATTTTCTAGCAGTGAAAGCACAGCCAGATCACAGAATCCAGAGCTGTTCTGGGACCAGTCTCTGTATCTGTGCAGAGCAGTGTGAGCTGAGTGAACAGCCAGACCCCAGCCCCATCCTCTGAGCCTTGGACAGGTCGGGAATTAAAGCCACTGTTCCAGACTGAGAGGCACAGCAGCCCACAGCAGGCAGCCAGGGCGGTTCAGGCTCTGAGCAGAGCTGGAGCCCTGGCTGGGCAGCAGCAGAGAGGTGCAGCCCCAGACACGGCACAGGAGGCTGCAGGGAGCTGAGACCAGGGACAGCAGATGGCTGGAGGTCACAGCAGAGTCCCAGCGCCAGGGGTGACAGCCTGAGTGCCCAGCACTCGCTGCAGATCAGCCCTGACCTGCCACAGCAGCCAGGGACAAAGGCCAGGTGGTGGCACTGGCACGAAGCACAGTGGTGGCCAGCTCCATCGTGTGCCCACGGCCCTCTAGCTCCCAGCTCAGTGCCAGCCTCACTCTGTGGGATGAGCAGGATATTTATAAATGATTTATAAGTTGTTTATAGGGCCAGGGGTCACAGGGAGCTGGAGCAGCTGTGGGGTGGCACGGCACACATCAGTGCCAGTGTCCTCTGCCCACTGGAAGCCAGCTCGAGGGGCTGGAGCCCCCGGGGTGCCCCTGGAGATCAGCCTGGTGCCTCCTGGACCTGTGGGATGCCTGGCACTGCCGAGCCAGGATGTGCCCAGCTGGATGTGCACAGCTGTGGCTCCAGCTGCTGAACAGAGCCAATGCCAAGGCCCGCAGTGGGCTGGGGCCCAGCAGACCATGGCTCAGAGACACAGGATATTTGAGTTCCTCAGGCAGATTTGCTCATGGATCGCTGCAGAATGCCAGCCTCCCTCCAGGCCTGGTGGGTGCTGGATTAGCTGGGATCCTGCATTAATCGACAGAGGTGTCAGGGGTGACCTTGGGCAAATATTTACAATTACTGTCTGTGCACGCACTCAGAGCACACAGGGGTAGGGTTCTCACGGCACTTTAATGAGCTGCAGGGCAGCAGGAGGGCAGAGCTCCTCACCTGATGTGCTGAGCAGTCCAGGCTGGGGAGATCATCATCATCATCATCATCATCATCATCTTCATCTGCCCACAGAGGCGTGTCCTGTTGGAGTGGTGAGTGCTCAGCAGCCCTTCTGGGACCTGTGGGCTTTGAATAGGGACCATCTGGGTTCCTGCATCACTCGGCTGTGAGCTGTTGTTTGGACTCAGGGAATTGCAGTTTTCCTGCCCAAGGCTGCTCTGCACTCACATCCACATTGCACAGGCAGGAACGGAAACACTCGAGTTGTGCAGCGTGCCTGGGATGCCAAATGAATAAATAACACGAGGTTATAAAGCAGGATTCCCCCTCGAAAATTTGTTCTTGCAGTGGAAAGCACAGAGGAAAAAAATCCTTTTAAGTTCTGCATCCCTCTT